GGCCCACCATGCCTGGACCGCTGGATCTGGCGGGTTCGGGAGACCCGGAACCGACAAACACGTTGCCATCCCTTTGGCGGGCACCTTTTACTTATGCTGGCCATCCGCCGAGGACAGCTGTGCCTACGGCTCCGCGCACGTGCCGCCATGAAGGCGCGGTGGAGGGGGCGCCGAGGGGCCTACATGACAGAAGTGGGCAAATCGTGCGCATGGGAAAACATTGCAAGGAGGTTTCGCAGCAGGGCCTCGAGGGCGAGGCCCTGGCTGATGAGCGCCCGCAGGTCGTCGCGGGCGCCTCTGCCGATGTCCACTGGAAACGGGCATCCCCTGCAAAAAACGTCCACCCGTGCGGGCTCGCCCGCGGCGTCCTCCGAGTAGGGGAGACGTCTGGGCGGCGTCCTCCACCACAAGGCGAAGAGGAGGGAGGAAGAGTCCATCACGAAGATTGCGAGGAGGGAAGGAGGAGGAGGAGGAGGAGGAGGAGGAGGAGGAGGAGGAGGAGGAGGAGGAGGAGGAGGAGCGGCGACGGGAGGAATGATGATGCGCAAGAAAAGAAGAGGACGATGAGGATGAGGATGAGGATGAGGATGAGGATGAGGATGATGATGATGATGATGATGATGATGATGATGATGATGATGATGATGATGATGATGATGATGATGATGATGATGATGATGATGATAATGATGATGATGATGATGATGATGATGATGATGATGATGATGATGATGATGATGATGATGATGATGATGATGATGATGATGATGATGATGATGATGATGATGATGATGATGATGATGATGATGATGATGATGATGATGATGATGATGATGATGATGATGCTGATGATGATGATGAGATGATGAGGAGGAGGAGGAGGAGGGGAGGAGGAGGAGGAGGAGGAGGGGGAGATGGAGGAGGAGGAGGTGGAGGAGGAAGAGGAGGAGGAGGAGGCGAAGGGCGACCAGGAGGAGGAAGGAGGCATATCGACCTCCATTTCCCCACACCTCCTTGTTCCGATCCCCCTTCTTACCCTCCTTAGGTTAGTTCCTTCACCTTCTCCCTCCTCCATCTCTCCCTCCTCCCCTCTTCATCCTCTGTCTTTCCCTGTCCTCCCGCTCGCCACCCCTGCCTCATCTCCCCCCCCGCTCTCTCCTAATCCTCCTCCTCCTCCTCCTCGACCACGCCCTTCACTGTCCGTCCCCTTCTCCCCCCGCCTCCTTTCTCCTTCTCCGTCTGCTCCTCTCCCCTCCCTCCCCCCCCGCGAGCCCCATCCTTCCTCCCCGCAAACCACATCCCCGTCCTCCTCCTCCCTCCATCCATCCGCGTGGCGGCCACGCCTGATCATCGAGCTCCCGTCGGGAGACACGTACGCGGGCCCGCCTGACCCCGGCCCCGCTCTGCGGCTGGGAGGAGGGGGGGAAGGACGAGGATGATGAGCATGAGGGCGAGGAGCACAGACGATGCTGCTGATGCTGATGCTGATGCTGATGCTGATGCTGATGCTGATGCTGATGCTGATGCTGATGCTGATGATGCTGATGCTGATGCTGATGCTGCTGCTGATGATGATGCTGATGATGATGCTGATGATGATGCTGATGATGATGATGATGATGATGATGATGATGATGATGATGATGCTGATGCTGATGATGCTGATGCCGATGATGATGCTGCTGATGATGATGCTGCTGCTGATGATGCTGATGCTGCTGATGCTGAGGACGCTGATCGGTGGAGGGGGGGGCTTTGCACCGTGTAACGCAAGAGTCATCCAATACCCAACCAAAACCCAACCAAGACCCAACCAGAATGCGGCCAACATCCGTGTGACTTGAACACCACTTGCACAACCAGCCAGAAGCCAACCAGAAGCCAATCAGCCAGCCAGACGACCAGTCATTCAAGCAGCCAGCCTGTCAGCAGCCAGCCAGCCAAACAGCCAGAAGCCAAGCAGCCAGCCAGCAAGCCAGCCGACCAGTCAGCCAATCAGCCAGCCAACCAACCAGCACCCAACCAGTCAACCAGCCAGAAGCAAACCAGAAGCCAACCAGCCAGCCAGCCAACCATCCAGCCAGCGGACCAGCCAGCCAACTAGTCAGCCAACCAGTCAGCCAACCAGCAGGCCAAAAAAACCAACTGGGATCCAACCAGAACCCAACCTGGGCCATTTCTGGGGTTGTGCTGGTTGGCTGCTGGTTGGCTGGCCCCATCATCGACTGGCGCAGCCAATCAACCAACCAGCCAGAAGCCAACCAGCCAGCAAACAGCCAGCCAGCCAGCCAGAAGCCAACCAAAAGCCAACCAGAAGCCAAGCAGCTAACCAGCCAGCCAGCCAACCAGCCAACCAGAAACCAACCAGCCAGCCAGCCAACCAGCATCCAACAAACCAGCCAGCCAACCAGCCAGCCAGCCAGCCAACAAGCCAACCAACCAGCCGACCATTCAGCCAACCAGCCAGCCAGCCAGTAACCAGCCAGCCAACCATCCAGCCAGCCAACCAGCCAGCCAGCCAGCCAACCAGCACCAGCCAACCGGCCGGCCAACCAGCCAACCAGCCAGCCAGCCAGCCAGAAGCCAACCAGAAGCCGACCAGAAGCCAACCAGCCAACCAGCCAGCAAGCCGACAAGTCAGTCAACCAGCCAGCCAGCAGCCAGCCATCAGCCAGCCAGCCAACGAGACGCCAAACAGCCAGCCAGCCAGCCAACCGGCACAGCCAACCAGCCAGCCAGCCAGCCCAGCCCGCCAGCAGCCAGCAAGCCAACTGGCCAGCCAGCCAATAATCCAATCAGCCAATCAGCTAGCCAGCCAACCATCCAATCAGCGAGCCGGCCAATCAGCTAGCCAGCCAACGAGCCAGCTAGCAACCAGCGAGCCAGCCAGCAACCAGCGAACTAACCAAGAACCCGCCAACCTAAACACACGGGTTTGGGCAACATTTCCGACCAGAACCAGACACAAACCAAACGAGGTCGGCTTTACACCGTGTAAGTGCTTCTGGTAGACTTCTGGTTGGCTCTGGTTGGGAACTGCGGCCTAGCCGCCTACGTTACACGGTTTTGGCTGCATTTTCCCAACCAGAACCAACAAGAAGTCAATCGTCAACACTTACACGGTGTAAAACCACCTTACACGGTGTACAGCCTCCCCGTCGATGATGATGATGATGATGATGATGATGATGATGATGATGATGATGATGATGATGATGATGATGATGATGATGATGATGGGTCATGCATGTATTGACCGCGTGGCTATGTTGCACACGCTGCCCGAACATGAGGGCTGCTGGGAGATCTGCACTACTCAAGCTCTACTCAAGCTCATGCTCCTGCACCCAGCTGTGACGCGACTTCGATGACTATTGTGATGGCGATTTCGAGGAGGAGGAAGAGGAGAAGGCGGAGGAGGAGAAACGGGAGGAGGAGGAAGAAGAGGAGGACGAGGAATCGCTACAATGACATGAGAAGCATGAGGAAAACCATGAGCGATGGTACGAGAGCGGGCAAGAGGATGAGGAGGATGAGGATGAGGAGTACGAATCAGAAAAACAGTGTTACTAATAAGAGTAAGCATATCATGAATACGAGTGGGATCAATAAGAAGCAGAACAATGACAATGACATAGTAGCAATACTACTACTATTAGTTTTATTCTTTATTTATTTACCTAAGCTCTGCCTAGAAAGGTTCTTACTCGCTTGGCCTAAAGGGGCCGGGCAGTGCAAACCGCCCCGGGCGGTTCCCCCAGTCCCCTGGGAGCCAAGCAAAAGCAACAGCAAAGGTAAAAGCAAACGCGCGGTTCCCCCAGTTGCGCTCCCTGGGTGCCAAGCAAAAGCAACAGCAAAGGCAAAAGTGAAGGCAAAAGAGAAGGCAAAGCAAAAGCATAGCATAGCAGAGCAGAGCATAGCATAGCGCAGCATAGCATAGCGCAGCATAGCATAGCATAGCATAGCCTAGCCTAGCCTAGCCTAGCATAGCCCAGCATAGCATGTGCGTGTGAATGTATGCACTCAGCTATAGCCATCGTTGGAGGAGGGGATAGATGTAGATGTAGATGTAGGTGTAGATGTAGGTGTAGATGTAGATGTAGATGTGAGTTTCGCTGTTGATGTAGATGGAGATGTAGATGCAGGTGCAGATGTAGATTAGGAAAAGTTCTACCGGCGTGGTCACTCGGTTCGAACCCTCCCCCCCAGCTCATCTGGGGGGTCACTCGGTTCGGAAAACCGGGGGGGGGGTCACTCGAAAACCGAGTGGGGGTGCGGACAGTGGTGGGGACGGTGTTGGTGGGGACAGTGGTGAGGGGATAGCGGGACAGTGGTGGGGACAGTGGGACAGTGGGACAGTGGTGGGGACGGTAGTGGTGGGGACAGTGGTGGGGACAATGGTGGGAACAGGGGGGGACAGTGGACAGTGGTGGTGACGGTGGTGGTGGGGACAGTGGTGTGGGGACAATGGGAATGAGGTGGAAACAGTGGGACAGTGGAGGGTACAATGGTGGTGGGGACAGTGGTGAAGGCGGTGGCGAGGACGGCGGTGGGACAATGGGACAAAGGTACAGTGGGGACAGTGGTGGGGACAGTGGGGACAGTGGTGGGAACAGTGGGTCAGCTCAGTGGGGCAGCGGAGGAGTCAGTGGGACAGTGGGGACAGTGGGGATAGTCGGGCAGTGGTTGGGGCCGTGGAGACAGTGGGGAGAGTGGAACCGTGGTGGGAACAGTTCTGGGGACAGCGGGGACAGTGCGACAGTGGTGGGGCCACTGGTGGGGACAGTAGGGGCGGTGGTGGAACCAGTGGGGACAGCGGTGGTGAGGACAGTGGTGCTGGGAACACCAGTGGTGGATCTGATGCGGACGGTGGTGGGGACCGGGAGTCGTTTGCTGGCGGTGAGTAGGGGGGGAGTGGGGGGGGGGTTTCGAACCAGTAGTTGACCCCTTCCCGGTTTTCCGGATCCGAAAGGGGGGGGGGGGGGGGAGGGGGGAATGGATCGGAAAACCGGTAGTAACCCGAGTCGTTTTTTCCGGATCAGGAAGCTTGGGGGGGAAGGGGTTCGAACCGGTAGTGAACCCCCCCGGTTTTTTCGTTTCGGAGAGGGGGGAGGGGGGGGGGGAGGGGTTGGGAGGGGAGGGGATTTGCGGGGGAGAGGGGTGGGGGGGAGGGGTTCCAGCAGGGGGGGGGATTTTCGAGGGGGGGGGGGGGGGCGACCCCCGGGCTCCGGAGGAAAAGGTTGGCAATTTTCCACAGTAAAGCGGCGGTGGATCACGCTCTCTCAGATATAGCTGTAGGTGTAGATGTAGATGTAGGCCTAGATGTAGATGTAGGTGTCGATGTAGATGTAGGTGTAGATATAGATGTAGATGTAAAGAACTCCCCAGTGCCCCGCCCTCATCTCCGTGCCTGCTTGCTTTTGCTGCTGTCTCGGCGACTTGCTGCCTGCTTCTGCTGCTGCTTCACTTACGGCGTGGCGTCGGCGGTTCAGGCGCTACTACTAGTACTACTACTCCTACTCCTACAACAACAACAACACCAACAACTACTACTACTACTACTACTACTACTACTACTACTACTACTACTACTACTACTACTACTATTACTACTACTACTACAACAACAGCAACAGCAGCAACAACAACAACACCAACAACAACAACGCCAACAACAACAACAACACCAACAACAACAACAGCAGCAACAACAACAACAGCAACATCATCAACAACAACAACAGCAACAACAACAACACCACCACCACCAACAACAACAACAACCACAACAACAACAACAACTACTACTACTACTACTACTACCACTACTACTACTACTACTACTACTACTACTACTACTACTACTACTACTACTACCACTACTACTACTACTACTACTACTACTACTACTACTACTACTACTACTACTACTACTACTACTACTACTACTACTACTACTACTTACTACTTACTACTTACTACTTACTACTTACTACTACTACTACTACTACTACTACTACTACTACTACTACTACTACTACTACTACTACTACTACTACTACTACTACTACTACTACTACTACTACTACTACTACTACTACTACTACTAATACTACCGCTACTGCTACAACTACGACGATGAGGAGGAGGAGGAGGACGGCGTTCACCGCTCCTACTAATGTTGCTTTCCTAGAGGCTCCAACTCCTAGGTAGGGTCGCACTGGGATAATCATCATTATTATTACCATTCTGAGTTCACTATTCTTAGCATTAAACATACGAATAATCATCACACTAAGAGCAGCAACCATACTAATAATACGAATAATACAAATAATCATAACAACAGGGTCAATGCTAATACAAATATTACTAGTGATGTTCAGAATAAGAAGGCTACACCTCCCCAGAGGATGTATCATCGAGTCCACGGCCCAGGGTGGGCCTGGCCAACGCTGGTGGATGTGAACTGACCTAGGTTTCTCCTTATGCCTTCTCCTCGCCCCCCCCCGCTGTGCGAGGCCCTTCTGCGCCCTCCATGAGCATCCTACGTGGCTGATCTCGGCTGGTCACGGCCACTGTCTGCCTCGATGGCGACGCGGAGGCGAAAGCGGGAGAGGGGGAGGGCGAGGGGGAGCGGAGGAGGGGGACAAAGGGGGGTGGGAGAAGCGAAGGATGAGAGAACAGACGGAAAGAATGAGCAGACGAAGATGCAGAAGAATGTCTGTGAGTTGTCTGTCTGCCTGTTTGTTTGTGCGTCTGTGCGTCCGTGTGTCCGTGTGTCTTTGCATATGTGTGTTTGTGTGTGTGTGTGTGTGTGTGAGAGTGTGAGTGTGGGTTGCGGGCCCGGTTTCCGTCTCCCTCCCGCCCGCGCCTGGCCTTCCGCCTCCTCCTCACGTGCATCGTGGCCTGATTAGCAAATGTATGCCCTACAGTTGCCGCATCCGCCAGCGCAGTCACCCTGCCTACCTGCCGACGCAAAGTGTGTGTGTGTGTGTGTGTGTGTGTGTGTGTGTGTGGTCTGCTTGCCTGCCTGCCTGCCTGCCTGCCTGTCTGCCTGCCTGTCTGTCTGTCTGTCTGTCTGTTTGCCTGCCTGCCTGTCTGTCTGTCTGTCTGTCTGTCTGTCTGTCTGTCTGTCTGTCTGTCTGTCTGTCTGTGTCTGTTTGTCTGTCTCTACCCTTGTCTCCTTCTGAATCTGGCTTTGTCCCCGTCTCCATCCGTCTCTCTCCATGTGTTTATGTATATGTATTCGTGTATGTGTATGCGTATGTATATGGGTAGGTTTGGGAATATGTAAACACCCATGTGCATGTAGATGTATGTGCTTTGGTATCTGTGCATGTATATATATATATATATATATATATATATCTCGGCATCTGGAGCGGTCTTTGGTATGTTTGTTTATGTATGTCTATAATTATACACACTTTAATGCACATGTACATGATTTTGCATGTGTATATGCACCGGTACATATATTTTTGATGTCTGTAGTATAGTTATTTGCATCCGCGTGTGCGTATGTCTATGTATAGGTATATGTAGAAGATTCTGTATATGTATATCCATATGTATACGTATCCGTCTATCGGCCACCATGCCTGCACCCCCATGCAAACCAGGGGTCCTGGCTCCGGGCCCTCCCCGAGCCTACTCCGATATGCACGTACCTATTCTTATATTTGTATTACCCGGACCCCCCCCACCAAACCGGACCTCCCCCCCACGGACGCTCTGGACGCCCTTTCGGACGTCTCGGTGGCCCCCTAGACGCCCTTGGAAAAGATCCACTGGCCCTTTCGGGCCTCCCAGGGCGCCTTGCCGGGCCTTGCGAGCAGACTGCGATCAGAGGGGTCACCGGAGAGGCGCAGGAGATACCCAAGACAGCATAAGAACGCTCCAAGAGGAACCTCGATGGTCTGAGGACGGCCTAAGAGGCCCCCAAGACGCCCCAAAAGGCCGTTAAGAGAGCTCCGGAGAAACAGCGATCGTCCCATTCCCGCTGAAAAATGTATATGTTTAGCATCTCTGCCTTTTGGGTCTTCGCAGCGTCCAAGACGGCCTGATGGGCCCCCGATACCGCCCCAAGAGGCCCCCCGGAAGGGTCGAAGACGGCCAAGAGGGCCCCAAGTCTGGCCCAGAGAGCCCCGATACTGCCCACAAGAAGCTCAAGATGCCTCCAGAAGGCTTCGAAAAGAGACCCACGAAAGCCATGGGAGGCCCCCAGAATGGCCCTTCTGGAAGGCCCCAGCTCCCCAAGACGGCCCAAGAAGGCTCCGGGACGGCCCAAGAAGGCCCCAGGACGGCCTAAAAGAGCCCCCCCAATGCCCAAACGGGCGATTCCTATGAAGTACATCGAGCTGACCCGACGATCTTGGTTCCACGCTTGAGGCTCGAGGTTTAGGTTCCTAGATCGAGAGAGACAGGCAATGGATCTAGATTCGAACGAAGTTCGACGATCGAAGATTTCCTGAATGCCTGGGGCCCTCCAGGCATTCAGGAAACCACCAACATTCGACTTGTTCGGAGCTACTACGATCTCTTCCGCGTGTCATGGGAACGCTCCTTACTTCCTCAAAGGACCTTCGCGCGTGAAACAAATAACATTCCTTCCCCACTCCTGCGCACACGCGTGCAAGCGCATCGGGCGAACGCGGTGCCAGCACGCACCAAGGGTATCAGAAAAATGAGCCGGTCGCCCGTCCAGGCCTCGAGGTCCCCCCTGCTGAAGCAAGCGATGATTTATTGCTTTGCTGGGGAGGGTCCGGAACAAGGCACCTGGCGCGAAACGCCAATGTAGTCTTGCATATATATATATATGTATATATAACTGTATAAATAGTTATGTATGTATATGTGTGTACATAAACACATATATATGCATATATGCACATGCGTATGCTCTCTCTCTCTCTGTCTTTCTCTCTGGCGGTTCCTGCTCTCACTCCCCCTCTCTCTTCCGCCCTTCCGCCTCTCCGCCGGTGTTCAGCCTCCCCCTCCAGCTCCCTCTCCCTCCCCTTCCCCCTACGTGCTCTGTCTCCCTCCCTCTCCCTCTGCCCCCTTCCGCCCAATCTCTGCCTCCCTCCCTTCCCCCACCCCATCTGTCTCCCTTCCTCTCCCTCCCTTCCCCCCACTCTGCCTCCCTGCCTCTCCCTCTGCCCCCCCCCCCCCCCCTCTCTCGGTACCACGCGACGCAGCAATCGTCGGAGCCCTCCCCGCCAGCGCTGTGGAGCTGCTCCTCAGAATAGTGCCAGCCCTCGCATGGGGCGGGGGGGGGGTCGGGGGGCAGACGCTCAGTCGGGCACGGCCGGGAACGATAGCTCCGTCCTACCTCCTCCCTCCTGTCTCCCTCTCTTCCCCCATACTCCTTCTCCCTCGTTCTCTTCTCTCTCCTTTGCCTCCTCCGCTCCCTCTCTCTCCTCCCCCCGGCCTCCTTCTCCCCCTCCATCCTGCTTGGTGCTCCTCGCCCTCCCGTTCTCTTTTTCATTCTTTCGCCGCCCCCTCTTTCATGAGGCCTCCTCCTCCCTCCCCTCCGTGGAGCCCGCGCTCCCCCCCCCTCCGCCGGAGAGGGACCGCGGGCAGCTCTGGGGCACAGGCCGCGGGCGGGGGCTTCTCGGGCCGCCTGCCACAAGCCCCCCCCGCCCGCATCGCGAGCAGAATCACGACGGGAGGTCTTTCGCCCTCTGCGGCCTCCGGGGGCCCGCAGAGGCGAGCCAGGACGAGGAGCTCCAGGGGCCACGTCCAGAAGGCAACGTCGAGGGGTCGGGGCGTCCGAGTGCAGGGCGTCGTGTGCGCGAACAGGCCGCGCCCAGGAGCGTCCGATGGCAGGGCAGGCCGTGCCCGAGCGCACTCCTGGGGGGCACCCGTCGTGGCGCGAGCAGCGGCCGTCGGCCGGCGCTGCCGCGGGCGCCCCTGGGGCTCTTGGGGGGCGCTGGGGGGTGGGGACGCGGGAGGAGGAGGAGGAGGAGGAGGAGGAGGAGGAGGAGGAGGAGGAGGA